CCCTTTATCTTACCTCGACCCTTCCCCCTTTTGGCCGCTTAGTTTCCACAACTCTGTTTCCATCCCCAGGACTTGCTTGCACACCGGCACTTGCTTGTTCCACCCTCTTGTAACCCCGGCACTTGTCCTCCACCCTCCCCAGCACTCACCCACTCACTGGCGCTACCGGCACTCCCCTACATACCGCCCCTGCCCTGCTTCGGTCTCCTACACCCCACGCCCTACCGGTGCTTTGCATCTGTGGACATAGTGATCACCACGTAAGGTATTTGCCCAGTGGACTGAGATCCCATGGTCAGCGGAACCTGATAGCATGCAAGACTAGGGCATGACCAGGGATACAAGCAGTGGGCAAGTGGGGGGATCTGTAAAGGCAACCTCTAGGACCTGCAGCTCAGTCACATAACTAGCAGAGAGGTCTAAAACAAGCCCCAGGGGTCCTGGGGAGTGGCATAGGAGGTAGGCTGAGGTGTAGTGGAGTGCCAAAAATGGAAGTCAAATGGAAGTCCCCTGACAGGATTACTGGTCATGCCAGAATGAGAGTGCAAGTGTCAGAGATAAAGGAGGGAGTTGGAAGATAAGCGCTGGAGTGAGCGCAGGTCCTGGGGGTGCAAGAGTAAAATGAAAGACGAGCACTGGTAAAGGAGCAAGTCCTGGAGCTGAGGATTGAGTAGCTGCAGCAAGTGAAGGGACTTGAAGAGACTTAAAAAGTCCCAGAATTAGAGATAGGGTGCATGGAGATCTAATCAAGCCAAAAGAGGAAAGAGTCAAGATGGGAGGTGGAAGGGGAAATGAAACAAGAGAAGAGAGAGAGAAAGAAGAGGATAAGAGACTTAGAGACTTGAGGCAGAGAGAGAGAGAAGAAGCAGAGATTAGATTGAGAGAGATACAAGATGAGTAGAGATGAGAGACACAAGATGATACAAGGCAAGTACAAAACAAAAATGAGATAAGTCAGAAAATGTAAACCAGAACATAAGAGACTAAGAAATGAGACCAAACCATGGAACTAGAGACAGAAAGTATGGTAATATCAAGACTAGAGTACTTGATGCTACTCTACAACTCAATATACTGGACAGTAGGTAGGCCTCAGGGCATAGGTCCAGGCTCTGGTAACAAGTTGCAGTGCCAGGGCTTGAGATAAAGGTTGGGATCATGCAAAGTGGTGGCAGTGGTTGATGCATGGTGTGCAGCACAATGGAAGCTCTCAAAGGAAGGTCTTGCTTTGAGAGCACGGAGGCATGGAATGGCAATGAGGTGAGGAGGCAAGCGAGGATAGAGCACAGCGAGCAGAGATTGGACCAGAAGTGATGCATGGTCATGATATGTGATGAGCATCTTGGTGAGAACCAGAGGAGGCCTTGGCACAGACCAGGAGAGGCACTGGGAGTTGCCAGAGCAGGCACTGATGTGGCGGCTGCAGCTGGGAGGAGCTCTGGGGGTAGTTGGGGCCAGTGCTAATGTGGCGGCTGCAGGCAGTGATGGCCAAAAAGTGCCAGGGGTGGCAGTGGCTGGTGGCAGTAATGGGCAGTGATGGTCGAGGGCTGCAAGAATGGTTGGTCAGGTAGCAGTTCAGGCCCAGGACATTGTGGAGGCTGGTTTAGGGAGGTGGGAGTCCCAGAGCCGAGGCTGAGCACTAGCAGTTGATAGTGAGTTGTGACATCACCCCCTCCTTCAGCATTGAAACCCTCAAAACATGCGGTGGGGGGTGGGTGTGCTGCTTCTGGCATCAAAGTCAAAGTCTGACAGCCATCAAAGAGTCCTATATGCAATAAAAAAGAAGAAAAACTTTGCCAAATTCTAAGCACTCTTTTCTCATGTTGTTCTCATCCTCATTGTCATCCCCTACTCCTCCTCCTGCCAACAAGAGCAACGTGGGTGCATGGGTGGCCTGCGAGGAGTGCCAGACCTTGTCAAGCATTGCCAGGATTGTTGGTGGGCAGAGGCAATGCATTATAAGTTATTTGTTGTTTTGGAGCTGGTGATTGAGTCACCAGGGCAAGCAAAGGGGACTTAGCAAGTCCTGGGATCAGATATAGGGGTGTGGAGATATAACTGAGCCAAAGGGGGAAAGAGTCAAGACAAGAGATGGAAGGAAAAATGGAACAAGATGAGACTGATGCAAGAAAAAAGAGAGAGAGAAAAGAGAGTAAGAGACTTAGAGACTTGAGATGAAGAGAAAAAGAAGCAGAGATTAGATTGGAAAGACACAAGCCAAGTAGAGATGAGAGACATGAGATGATATGAGGCGAGTACAAAACAAAAATGAGATAAGTCAAAAAATGGAAACTAACATGAAAGACTAGAGAACAAGACTGAAACACACAAGTTGAGACAAGAAGTACAGCAATATCAAAACTAGAGTACTTGATGCTACTCATCAACTCATATACAGGATAGTAGGTAGGCCTTGGGGCACAGGTCCAGGCCCCAATGTCAAGTCACAGTGCTGGGGCTCAAGATGAAGCCCAGGGATTGTGCAAGAAAAAGGCCTTGCTTTGGGAGCACAGAGGCATGTAATGGCAACAAGGCAAGGAGGTGAGCAAAGATGGAGCATGGCATATGGAGGTTGGACCAAGGGTGATGTGTGGTTATGATGCATGATAGGCATCTCGGTGGGAGCTGAGGGAGGCCTTGATAAGGCCAGGGAAAGTGCCAGGGGTTGCTGGAGCAGGTGCTGATGTGGCAGCTGCAGGCAGTGATGGCCAAGGGGTGCCAGGAGTGGCAGTGCCTGGTGGCAGTCGTGAGCAGTAATGGCCAGAGGCTGCCAAAGTGGTCAGTCAAGTAGCAGTCTGGTCCCAGGATATTATGGAGGCTGGTTTGGGGAGATGGGAGTCCCAGGGCTGGGGCTGAGTATTGGAGGTTGGTAGCGGGTCATGACACCTGGGGTCTGAAGTGGACATTGTAGGAATAACTGCATTCAAAGGAAGAACTGTAGACATATAAGAACAAGGATGTCAAGTCATGTGTAGACAGAGGAACCCACCATGACTGGGCATAAAGCTGACAGGAAAAGACAAAGAAACAGTACAAACAGGCAAAAATGCAGAAGGAAGGCCCAAAGGACACTGCAAAGGCATAGCCTCCATGGGTGAGATGCTAGCATCCTGTGCACTGTCTGCCAAGGAGTCACTAAAATGCCAAAGGAGTGTGGCAAGGGCAGCCTTAGAAAGAGTAATATCTCTCCCCCCAGGCAGGGTGTTGTAATGCAAACTGCAAGAGGATTGACCACCTCCAAGGAAGGGCCAAGCAGAAAGGTGGATTGGGTGATTGGCACAATAGGATGTTGCTGTTGAGACTGTAGAGGGATGGAAGGAAGGGAAGATGGAGTGGAGTCCACATATTGAAGTGGTGTGCAAGCAGGAGAAAAAGAAGTAGTTGGGATGGAGGTAGTGCATTGCCAAAGGAGAGAGAGTGAAGAGGAGGGGGTTTACCTGCAGGATCCCTGAGGGAGGGTAAGTTAAGCTGAGCAGAAGCCCTGAGGGATGACAGGTTAAGGGTTCTCTGCTAGGCCAAAAGGCCAGACAATGCAGATTGGGGAGTCAGACCGGGGCAGGTCCTCAAAATAGCAAATTGGAGGGTGGGATTGCGATCCCCACCTGGCAAGTTTTGATCAACCCCCAACTGGGGCAGAATGTTCCCATCAGGTCCATCAGACCACCCAGGATCGAAAAGGTTGCCTTTGAAATCAAGAGGGTTGTCCCCTTCATTGTCTTCCTCCAGGACATCGTCAACTGTGGGTTACCTAGAATGGTCCCACCTATCAGACAGAGACTCTAACAGAGTGACACGCTGAGACCGAGTGAAACGTCTTCCGGTACCAAGAGGTGCAGAATGCGTCATGACTGTAGATGCAGCGGATCCAGACATGAAGCTACTACTGGGTGGAGAGAAAGAGCGTTTGAAGTAGAGATCCGTGAAGAGTGAAAGTTGAGGTAACACAACGCCAAAGGTAGAAGAGAACAATATCTAAGGGACTGTGAGCATTTAATGAACAACCAGTACTTCGGAGGTAAATGCGCAAGCGTGTATAGTACATATCGACAAGTGTTTATACTGCACAGGGTAGAAAGTACGTAATAATTGTCAGTAAAAGTCACGAGAATGAATTGTTTGCATAACACGCGAATTATTATTTTAACGAACAACACGGATGAAACGAATCGTGTTCACTACAACACCTGATTTTGTCGCGATGCCTCAGGCCTGTCTCGTGAAAATAGGTCTTATACCAGGTGGTTTATTTCATTGGTTCACATATCCGGTATGGTGTAACGGCTAACATTGCCGCCTTTCAATAGTCTTGATTATCGCGGCAGCTCGGGGTTCGATTCCCCGTACCGGAAACCTTTTTTCCACCCTGCAAGTCTTCGTTTTTCTGTACATCTAACCTCTCGTTGTCCTTAGCTATGTCATATATACTCCTTACAAGCGAAAATAATGATAAAAAAAAATTATGCTACTGAAAATCGAACAAATCAAGAGAGACAATGGAAAAAAAGCAAAAACTTGCCATCACCCGGATACAGGCCATTATCTTGCCCCTACGGCACTAAAAATTCATTCCTTCCAGAATCCCCGACTCATGCATAAAAGAACTCCACCGCTCATCGAGCCTCGAATCACGCGATGCCAGTCCGAGATCCGCAAGCTCTACGTTCCCCGCGAACGTTTGCTGTTGGAGCCACTGGCTCTGGTGTTGTTGGTATTGCGGTTGTTGCGAGTATATCTGATAATTGTGACCATAATCATGATATTCCTGGACATGATTGGGGTATTCCTGATTGTTATACAGGATCTGCTGCTGATGTTGCTGCGGAGTGTGATGTGATGCTGACGAGGAATAGAATTGAGATGACACGACTCGTCGAGATCGTATCATTTGTCGCTCCTGCTGAATCGACGCCCCAACGCCCTGATCCTGGTGATGCGGATACAATTGGACACCCTCACGAGGCTCTTCCCACGCACTAAGCGTGGATCTGGATGTTCCCAATTCAACTTGACAAGTAGTCCTTTCAGACGATACATACGGGTAATGCAGCGGTAGTGGTGGAAGATGTCTGAATATGGTAGGATCCTCTTTGAGAGAAACATCCAGAGATTCCGAATGCCCCGGCCATCCATTTAATGTATTCGGGTTTGATTGCATTGAATGTTGGTGAAGTCGGGATGACGCTTCCACAGTAGGCTTTCTCGCAGATACAAACCGGGTATGTCCTGCAAAGATGGAAAGTTCATCATCCTCGTCTGGCTCCTTTTTCACCTGGATATTCCACAACGTCCCTCCTGCACCGTCAGATAACGGCTCCGAGTCTTTCTGTGCTGTCGATAAAGCATGCCGGGCTTTCTCTGCGAGCTTAGTGAGTATTGGCTGCAAAGATATCAAGGGGTCAGTTCAACAGTTTATATAAACCGCAATAAACGCATGCACCAGAGCTTTGGTCGCGCGAATACTATACACGCTCGCCTTCAAGAACAGTCTACACGCTTGTTCAAGCTCTGCCATAGCTGAATGTGCTAATGGCGACTTTGGACCACGCGTCACCACCGTCCCGAATACCACCTATTGTTCCGTACATCAGCTCAATTCGAGTTCAGAGACGATGATGAACACACCGCAGCTGAAAACGCAAATGTCCACATCGTCCAGAACCTTGCACACGAATTAGGCCATATCCCGAACTGCTCACGTACGCTCTTGAGAATCGTCGATGCCGCGCGATAGGCAGCTAGGAAACTCGGTGCATATGTGCTCTTGAGCGGATTGACGGGATGTTCAATGATGGCTTGTGCGAAGAAAGAGCGGTGTAGGTACATCAAAACTGTGCAATAATAAGGCATCAATTCCACTTGCAAAAGGGTCAAAATAATTCACCGGTCTCTTTGATATGATCCAACACACATCTCTGGAATGATCCCGCCAAGTCCCCTCCTCCTTCTCCCTCCCCTCCTGTCCCAATCCCGTTCTTGGTCTTGAATTTGACATCACCCGCATTCATCCCTTCCGGCAAGGGAAATTCTCTAACCTTCTTATCGAGCTCCATGATCGTCGCGTATGTCGGCGCTTCGGCAGTGAGAGTCCGTGATGTGACCTCCGCAACGCATTCGGCGGCAAAGCGACATTGCCAGATGCTGACTAAAAAAGTGTCTGTTGGGAGAGCGAAGGGCGAAGATAGATAAGGGAAGGAGGCGTACATGCAGATCCAAATCCGCCCTCGGGGCCCTCGCACGGTTGACCGTCTTTTGGTGCACCGTCGTTAGCGTCGGGAAAGCTACAGTCGATGTAAGCGAGCGAAAAAGAAGGTGGACGCCCGGTGTTAAGACTCTAGATTGACGGTGTCAGATTGGTCAAAAAGCGAAAGAGATGAAGTGGAAAGTAGAATGTAACCAGAAAAGGATATTGTACCTGCCAGACATCCGCGACGAACAGGTCCCAAAAGAGTATTCGTCGACGCCGTACCATCTTTGGAGTCAGTCCCCATCGAGCTGAGTCGCGGTCTGTAGGGTGAGTTAGTTAAGCTGCGAAGATACAAGATTCAAAGATAGATGAGAAAAGAGGCAGTTGCGTGAGGGAGACTGGAAATGATATGGTTGTAAGAGAAGAGACCAAGCAAGGATGAAAGTCGACTGTAGTGACAACGAACGAAACATGTAGACTTACGCAATCCAATCTACAAAGTCTTGTCAGCCCTACCAACAAATTGGCCAAGAAATCAAACAAGACACTCACAGTCATACTCAGATGACCAGCAAGCGTAATCAAACTCCATGTCATTTCCATACTAGTCTCGTTCCTTAGATCACTCCCGCTCATCGCATTGTATATACTCAGTAGATGAAGCGTCTGGATCGTTACCAAGGAAGGCTTCTCCAGCACGGGCTGTAAAGCAAGAGCGGCACGCGAGAGCTGGTGAAAATGTTCTCCTAGGGCATTGTTGGATGCTGTGCTGACGACGTATAAGGAGTCGGAGGTAAAAGACGCGGGCGAGGAGACTAAGTGTGCGGATGTGAGATCAGTTAGAGGACTTGATTTTGAGCGGGAGTGCTTGTGTGAGCAGGAGGAGTTCGAGGATGTGTCCAGGTCGACGAGCTCAGTACCCATGTTCGGGTCCGAAGGCCTGACAAGAGCACCCACAGCAAAGATGATAAACAACAGTGCAAGGTCGTGCGGGCCTGAATAATCCCCTTCCCCTTCCCCTCCTTTCCTTTCCCCCTCTCCTATCTGCGCTCTCCGTTCAGCACGATCATACAACGCAACAACCATCTCCTCTAACTGTGCTGTCGTGACACCATGGAATAACCACGAACACTGCGTTAAGTAAGTTTGAACCAATTCCTCGGCAGTAGATCGGGATGGGAGGTAGGACGCGATGAAATTCTGAACACCTGCGGGGGGGCCGAGAGGCGTGAATGGGAATGAAGATGAGAAGAACGCGAGGGGGTCGGCAGGTGGTGATGCTGTGGAGTAGAGTGAGGATGAATGGAGGTGGGGAGATGAATTGGAAGAGCTCGTCAGTGGTGTCGAAGGATGTGGGGGCGAGAGGTTTGACTATTGAAGGGATAGAATTAGTTTCCCAACATCAGAGGAATTATTTAAACGTACGATAAGAAGACTCTATAATGCATCGATGAAGATTAATACATCTACCATACGAAGCAAAGAGAATTATGCAACTCACTTCAACACCACCCGTAGGCCCAAAAAACCTCGAAATTCCATGGTCAGAGATGCTTAATGTACCAAATGCATCAATTGCATCTCCTCCCCCTGCCTTCTCCTTCTCTCCCTTGTCCCCTTTTACCTCTTCATCCATCGTTCCAAAGTCGTCAATTTCTCGCGCAACGAGGTCCGGATGCAACAGTGGATGTGATGCCTGTAGAGACATGAGCGCATCCTCGAGCAATCGGACGCGCGCGCCCAGAGCTGCGATACGCCGATGGAGGTGTTCTGTCGCCGCAAGGACAAACCGCGTGCCTTCGCCTGTTGATAAGCTGCCTGAATAGCATGACAGAAGGTGTCAGTGTCGTAGGAGTAATCGCATACGTTGCTCACCGTTAGGACAGAGGGCGGCGCATCCGCGACGCTTCATTGCAGTCATACAATAAGTCACAAGGTTTACGACGATGAGACAATCAGAAGATTACCTGACAAGATTGGCATGGAATCTGCTTGTCGCACTTTATCTTGAGCCTTGGTGTAGTTTAGTACGTTTCTCGATAAATGCGCATGCGATGATCGCACCTTCGACATTCGGCACAGCTGATCTATGTCAATATATGTACATGACCGTCAGAGAACGAAACCCCTTTCAGCTGAGCACCGACTTACTTCGCCTGTTTCGACACTGTTAAGTAAAAGGCTGGAAACTGATCTAAACGAAAACACACCTCTGATCCTCTTCTGCTCCAACTCCTTCGCATGTCCCGTATCGAACCCTAGTCCTCCGTACTCATCCAAATCCTTCCTGCTTGCACGTCTTTTCAGCTTCGCCTGGGTAAGCTCAGCGGGCATCCTCCGTCGTACAGGCCCTTCAGAACGTATCTTCTTTGCTGAAGCTCGACAGATTGGGCAGGGCTTCTTATTTCAGGACTGATCATGTTCCAGACGTGGCAAATCGTTTCTCACGACCAGATTTGGTGCGAAGCCCTATGTACACATGGACGTTGACATAGACCATTCAATTGTATGACAAAAGCCATGATGGAGACGAAATTGGCTCAATGGAGGTGGAAGTAAAGAAACCTTCGTCATTTGCGACTGCCGATGTAGGTGACCGGTGACTTTTGTGGGATTCTGCCTTTGTTTACCGGTTTTCGGACCCGAAGGAATTTCTCTCAGAATTTCAATGGATTTTAAACCCGTCCGTGGGAGGTTCTAAAACAAAACCCAATCAAACCTTCGTGAGGCTTCCTGTATACGTATTGATCATCATTTTAATTATATGTATCTTGCTTCTGTATCATTTTACCAGAGCCAGTGTGAATCTTTGCACTTTACCCGATTCAAGCGACTCACAGAATCAGTTAGCGATGGTACTAGATGACACTTGTATATGGATTGCTTCTGCACCCCTGTCCTCCACACTGTTCCTGCATACTTTTTCGATACACACGAATTGGCTCAGCCAAAACGTCCTGCATCTGGACTCCCACACCCATGGTCCAACCTATTTTCTCTCGCACTCCGTTACCTCACGTGCACGTTGAACCACGAGCACCTCAGTCCTTCCATAATTCGGATGTTTACTGCAGATCCAATGAATAATTCAGCCGTCACTCGGGACCTGACGACGGCTCAGCTGTCCTATCGGGTCCGAACGTATGAAGGCTTCCCTCTTTTGTT